GCTGTTATCTGAGAAATTATTTCTGATTTCATTTTTTCCAGATCCTCTTTTGTTGCCAGTTCAGGGAGTTCAGGTGGTTGAGTATGAGATTGTTTCATCTTATTTCCCTTTGAGGTTGCTGTAGGTGATCTGGAAATCTGTTTTTGAGGGATGTTTACGTGTCTTCTCATTTCAAAGTGGGGGTGGGGGTGGGGGTGCTGCTGGCACCTGTGTGGCTCACCTCCTTTGCACTGAGAGCAGTGGAATGGAGGCCTGGGAGCCTCCTCCTGGGTGCTGGGATTGGCTCATCTCCTCTGCACTGAGAACAGTGGAATGGAGGCCCGGGACCTCTTCCTGGGTGCTGGGATTGGCTCCCATAGCTGCCCTTTTCTACAAAACAAGACCCTTCCAGGCTGGGATCATAGTGCATGGCTTGTTCTGATTTCCTGACTGATGGACAGCCTTGCAGTCCCTGATCATTCAGTACTGTTGGCATCAGGGGCCCCTGCCTAGCTGGGGCTAAGCAGGTGGCAAAGACTCATACCCACTTCCTGGCCTCATGAGGCCCGAAGCCAACTGACTCTCACATGGCTCTTTCTGGAGTCACCTGGGAGGGCTCTGCACTGGCTGCAAGCTGACACAGCTCACACTAGCAGCTATTTGGTGAGGGAAGCCTGCCCATAGGAGATGACTTTTGAGCTATAATTCAAAGGATGGGTGAGAGTCCCCTAGGCAAAGGGGAAGTCAAAGAAAGGCATTACCGGTAGATGAGACAGCACGTACAAAGGGCCTGGGGCAGAAGGGAGTATGTTGAATTTAAGGAACAGAAAAAGAGGTCAGTACTGGAACAAATAGCTGGCTTGCTGTATCAGATAGCCAGGGGAGGTTGCAGGGCAACACACACAGGACTCTGTAGACATGGGTGTGAGGTCTTTATCCTGGGAGTGGCATTGGGACAGTGAAGGGTTAAGCAGGGAAGCATCATGATGAGATCTGTATGTTTAAAAATTCTCTATTCCCTGGAAGAAGGTCTATAACCATGAGCCACAGGTCTCTGTCCTACTCCACACTGAGTTAATGATAGGTCAGTCTAGCTGCTTAAATTGTCAGTGGCTCAGCCACCCTGGAAGGCTGAGGCAGGAGAATCAGAGGTTCACAGGTTAGAGACTTAGTGAGGCCCTTTCTCAAAATAAAAAATTAAAAAATGGGCTGGGGATGTACCTCAGTGTGATGGCCCTGGGTTCAATCCCTAGTTTCAAAATAAACAAGGAAAGTCTAGCCTTTTTCAGTTAAAAAAATCCACATGCAAGCCCTGGAGGAGAATCTTCCCAGAACACAGGGCAATTCACCCTTGGTGTTGTCTGTAACCCGCATGTTCAACTCATAGGCTGCATCAGTAGAGGCAGAAGGCCTAGAGCAAGGGAGGTGATGGTCTAGCTCATGCTTTGCTTAGTCCCCTGGGCTGGTTGGTGTGGGGGCCCCTCCCAGGGCCGTGGGGCCAACCAGTGAGTCTGAGGAGGTGGCCAACCAGTGCTTTCTGAGCTGGGGTCCAGCTCTGCTGGGATGGTGGCAGGGTCCTCAGGAGCAGGAGCATTTAGCAGGAGAGGGCTGCAGTCAGAGCACACTGGGATGGTCCCTGCTTCTGAGAGGAGAGTGGACAGAGGGGTGAGGAGCAGAGTGGCTGGAGATGAGGAGTGGGTGAGGGGCTGCTGTCCTCATCTGATGGATGAGGAAACAGGCCCAGAGAAGCTCCCCAACCCTCCCAGGTCCCCACACTTTGCCCTGTTCAGCCTGGGCTTCCTACCTGTGCTTGGCCGATGCCTCCTCCACCAAGCTCAAAACCCACTGTGGACCAAGCCAGGTGTGGTGGGCATCCCTGTAATCCCAGCACTCAGGAGTCTGAGGCAGGAGAATTGCTGCAAGTTCAAAGCCAGCCTGGGCTACGTAGTGAGTTCAAGGCCAGGCTGGACTACATAGTGAGACCCTGTCTTAAAAACAAAAAGCCCAGGGCCGGGGATTTAGCTCAGTGGTTCCGCTGCCTGCCTCGCAAGCGCAAGGACCCAAGTTCGATCCCTGGTACCAAAAAACAAACAAAACAAAACAAAACAAAACAACCCCCCCCCAAAATCCATCATGGACTGCTCTCCGAGGGATGCCCTGTGCCTCTGAGCTAGGCAGCCCTGTCACCTGTCTCTGGGTCTGGTGCCCCCCGTGCCTTGGCTCCAGCCCGGGTGGGCCCCGCCAGCCTGCCTTACCCAGTGGAGATGACGCAGCCTCTCCTGCAGGCTGGCCCTGTGGCTGCCCGAGGCGCCAGATGACCTGCTGTGGATGTGGGGCCTGATGAAGAGCATGGCACATGAGGTCTTCTCCAGGATGAAGGCTAGGCTCAGGTGAAGGACCGGGTATGTCCTGAGGGTCCAGGGCAGGTGGGCAGCTACTCCCATCCCTCATTCTCATGGAGGATAAGCAGGTCCCAGCTGCTGTCCCAGATGTCTCTGGGGGACTCCAGAAGGCTGGCCTATGTGGTTTCCTCCACCCCTGCCTGCCCTCCCTACTCAGGAGACCCAGGCATCCGCCTTCCCCATCTATCCAGGAACTCCCCTGCCACTCGGGGTACCCAGATGCACCTGGGTCTCTCCTCAGGGGAGCACCACCAGGGGTGGCATGGACCTGAATATGAGGTACATTTTCCTTCCTTTCCTTCCACAGCCCACCAGTCACCACTGACAGGGACACAGGCTCCTGCCAGCCCAGTGTTGCGGGCACAGAGCTCCTGTCCATCTTTCTAGCCTGCAGGGTTCCGGGAGGCAATCTCCCCTGATCCCCATACCTGCCTGCATCCTGCACACCCATATCCATCCCCAGGCTGTGGTGACTTGGGACTCTCCCTGGCTCCTGGCCAAAAGAGGTGGTGGGAGTGCTGGTCAGAAGGGGGCGGCCTCCCTCCTCTCTCAGGGTCTCCTCCCAGAGGGTGACATGGGCTGATGGCTCCCTGGCAGGAAGAGGCCCCTACCCCAGAGCCTGTACCCCAGACCTGGGCACTTCTGTTTTGGAGGAGGCTCAGCCTGGCCATACCCCCAGGAGTCCTGGGCACCAGGTCACCCTGAGCTCCTGGCTTTCTCCCCTGAGAAGAAGGGATAGCAGGAGCTGAGATGTGTCCACGTGAGGACTTGCAGCAGCACTCACTGGACACAGGCCCTGTGCACTGTCACAAGCTGTTTGCAGAGCTCAGAACAGATGATGGGATGTGGCCTGGGTGTCCAGATAGGGGGAAAACTGGAATGATGGGGGTGTGGTGTGGTGCTCCTCTGATCCCCTCTGCCTTTCTGTCCTGCACTGGCCCTGGAGGTGACTCCTGTGACCTCTGACTGCCCGTAGGGCCCTTGGAGTGGGTGGCCCTCCAGGCAGTGGGATAGAGGAGGAGGAGGGGTCCCCATTGCAGGGTCCTTTGTGGCGGTCTCTGCCCTCCCCAGTGCACTCTTGGTTGGGTGGAGAGGAAGCTGTGGACACTAGGCTTCCCCTGGCCTCTCCGGAGGCCACTCGTCTTCCTATCCTCAGAGCAGAGCCCACACTGTGACCTGGACAGGATTTTGGGAATGTTCAGCCTTCGGGGAGATGGGGAGCATGAGACACAGGCTCAAGTAAGAGAAGGGATAAAGGAATAAAGATATAATGGAAAGTTACAACGTCATTCATTCATTCACTCATTCGGCTTATAAACAATGAGCTTGGCCTCTTGGAGTCATGGCTATGAGCAGCACACAGGAAAATACAAGGGACCATCAAAAATGTGGTGTGTAAAAATTTTATTGTATGTTTAAAGTTTTAAAAAATTATTATGGTAAAAGACAAATTCCATGAATCCCTCTCAAAATACTCTGCCTTGCTTCCAACACACTCATCCCATCATTCCTGGCATTTTCTGCACCAGTTCTGGAAGTGCTCTTTCCCAAGTGTCTTTACAAGGTGTGATTAAAATAACACAGTGAATGCTGCTGCCTAGTGCCATCCAATGGAAAGGCAGCTTGGAGAAACATGACGTTGTGTCCTTATCCACCTGATTCACCAGATCGGGCACCATGCAACTTCTGGCTCTTCCCAGATGTCAAAATGACCATGGAAGGGAAATATTTTGAATCGATTTAGGACATGAGGCAGCCATGACAGTGCATCTATCTAAAGACACTCAAGACAGAGGACTCCAGAGCTGCTACAGAAAGTGGCAAGGATGATGGGATGAGCGTGTTCAAAATGAGGGGAAGGGATTTGAAGGGGATTATGGCAATATGTCTTTTAATGTAATAAAATTTTTTTGGGGGGGGTTGGTACCGGGGATCGAACTTGGGTCCTTGCGCTTATGAGGCAGGAGCTGGAACCACTGAGCTAAATCCCTGGCCCTTAAAATCTTTTAAAAATGCAAGCATTCATCATATTTTTCGCTCACCTTGTATATAAGTGGAGGCTCCTCCCAGGAGCTGTGGAGGAGACACAGCAGGGTGAAAGTGACAGTGAGTTGGGGTCCAAGCCACAGTGGCCATGCTTGGGACGGCCTCTCTGAGAAGCCTGATGAAAGGTGGAGGGATGTAGCAGAGGGAGCAGGAGGTGCAAAGGCCCTGCAACAAGACCAAAGCCGATGTGTTGGTTTCTGTGCACCTGGAGTGCACTGGGAGCCACCAGATAGGGGTGGCTGGCTGGCCGCAGGTAGAGTCTGGGTTGCCAGGAGAACCAAGGAGTAAATGGACAATGAATGGGGACAGGAGCTGGAGGTGTTCATTACTTTCTAGGTGTGCTAATAAATTTCTTGGGAATATGTTTTCAAAGAGTTCTATCTTTTAGAGATCCATACTGAAGTATTAGCGAATGAAAGCATAGGACACACAGAAGTTGCTTTAAAATAACCTGAGGGGAGGGGGAGCTGCTGCCACGTGCTTGGGGAGATGGGCACATAGACCTTCATTACACCATTCTCTACTTTTGTATACGTTTGATTTCCATGGCCAACAAATATTTAGCTTTACAGATGTAATAGTACACACAAATAGGGAAATACACTTCGATTGAGGACGCACAGCAAAACCATGGGCCTCCAGAGGCGTGGTTACCAGAGTGGCGGGCGGGAGTGCGCCTGGCTCTGCGGAGCTGCGAGCTTTCAGCACCCCGGACAGCGACCCACGTTCTGGTCCACTCAGCCGCCAGGGGATCGCAGAAGGGCGGAGAATTTGGACAGCGAGAAGTCTTTTCAGCACAGTGAGGTCTCCAGAACCTTCTTACACGCCTCCAGGGACGGGGTGGTCACTACTCAAAGGCAGCCCAGGTCTTGCTGGACATCTTTGACTTATGAGAAGCTACTGCTTCTGACTTTTCTTTTTCCTTTTTGTGGTTCTGGAGGACTGAATCCAGGGATGCTCTACCACTGGGCTACATTCCCAGGCCCTTTCCCTCCTTAAAAACAAACAAAGAAACACAAAAAACTCTTGAGACAGGGTCTTGCTAAGTCTTGTGATTACTTGAACTTATGGTCCTCCTGCCTCAGCCTCCTTGTGCTAGGATGACAGACGTGCGCCACCGCACCTAGCTTGCTTTGTGCCATTTAAGGGTACCTTTGTCAAAAACAAGTGACCATATGTGCTTGTCTCTTTTCCTGGGTTGTTCTGTTCCATTTTTCTGCACATCTATGTTTATGCCAAGTCCACACTGCCTTGATTTACAGCTTGTAGTTTAGTAAACTTTATCTTTTTTCAGAATTATCTTGATGACTCTAAGTTCTTTGCTTTTCCATACAAATTTCAGAACCATCCTGTCCATTTCTACAGAAGAGCCCAGGTTTTGCTTGGGATCACATTGACGATAAATTTGAGGGGAGTGGGTGTTCGAGAACCTGGTACCTCATTCTAATTCTTTAGTTTTTCTTTAATTTCTCTGATCAACATTTCAGTTTTTGGTATAAAAACTTGTATATGTTTTCTTAGATTTATTCTAAGCACTTAATGTTCTGATGCTATTGCAAACAGTATTTTCAAATTTTAAATTCCCAATTGTTTGTTCCCAGTATGTGTAAATACAACTGTTTTTTGGTTGGTCTTAGATGGTATGACCTTGCTAAACTCACTTACTAGTTGCAGTAGTCTTTTTCCAGATTCCTAGGGATCTTCTATGTTAATAGAGCTCTTTTATATTTACTTTAAACATTTTTTTGTTTAGAGTTTTTTAGGTTTTTATTGTGAAAAAAGTGAACAACAGCCAGTAAAATACTAATACATAAAGTTTCCCCTCTTTCTCCCACAGTTTCTACCTTGATCTGTCATGGGAGTTTTTATTTGCTATTTAATGTCACTCTTTTGAACCCTGGGACGCTTGTGTGGTATAAGTGCAGACCCTTACAGGCTCTGGGGACCCCACTCTGGGACTTCAAAAGCAGTCCACCAGCTTCCGGTTTCCTCCTCCTGTCAACCATGAGACCAACACATCTCATTCTGGGAGCAGGGAACTAAGCCAAGAAACTCCTTTTCCCGCAGATCCAGTGTGCTAAGGATACTGCAACTTCCACACCCAAGTGAACAAGGGACCCAGATTGTTGTGAGAGAGGCTGCCTCTTGCTAACTCGCTCACCAAATAAGCTTTGGTGCTTCAGTCAGGCCCCACTCTTAGATGCCAGGGGAAGTGTCAACCAGGCCCTCCTGAAGGCTGTGCCCAGATCCCTTTACTCACTGGGTAAGGGGAAGGACAGAGGCTGGGCAAGGCCTGGAAACTGGAGGATGGGAGAGAGTACTGGCAAGAGCTTGCTCTAGAAGCTGGAAGGTGGGGCTGAGCCCCAGCAGAGGCCCCAAGTCCTAGATGCAAGATTGATCTACTGACTTCATTTACAAAATGCAAATTCAAAGACCAATGTATTAACAATTTCAAGATGATGACCACAGAGCACTGACCCCAAGTTTGGGGCCCCATTCCTGCCCCCAGTTAATGCTATTTTGCTTTCTCTCACTACAGGTTAGTTTTGTTGGTCCTTGAGCTGTATATAAATGTCTTTTTATAACATATCTTTTGTGTTTGACTTACTTGTTCACCACTGTGTCTGTATGATTGTTGCATACAGTATCATTGCATTATATAGGCATGCATATATGCATTGCATATATATGCACTGTTGCATACAGTATCAAGTGACTTTATTGGCTATGTAAATACTGTATTCCATTTCATGAGTATACTGGACTACAATTTATCCATTCCACCACTGATGGCTGTTTCAATTGTTTCCAATGTCTGTCCAGTATGCTCAAATTGTTCCTGATTTGGCTTGATGGGACTCTCCAACTATGTCCTGTGTCCTTTTGACCCCATCACTTTTTAGCACTTTCTTCTTTTTTGGCTCAACAAGATATTTTAGGTTCATCTTGTATTTTCTACACCCTGCCCTGGAATTGGTCTTTTCTACAAGAAATCTTGGTTCCTTTGGGTGATGGAAGTATTTAGAAACAAGAATCTAGGCACTGCAATATCATTGTCTAGAGGCCTTTTCAGCAAACATAAGAAATGGATGTTTTTAAAAATAATAAATTCATGTCAAAATGCTTCCAGTTCTGATACAATACTTTAGGGTTCTTCTTTTTCTCCTTCCATTCTTTACTTTCAAATTCCTCCTTCCATAGTGAAAGCCCCCACCAAGAACATAAGTATATTTATTTATTTGTATAGTCCCTCTCCAGCTTTTGACTAGATATTCTTTTGTCATTACCTTAAGGTCTGCATGCTTGGAATGTCCTTTTTCTTTCTGCAAAGACAGCTACAAGCTTCCCAGTCACGGTTGTTTTCTCCCTGCCCACTGTGCACTCGTGGCCCCACTCCCTCTACCAAACAGGTGTTGGACATCTGATTGCTCCAGAATCCTGGGTGTGAACTCCTTCCATTCGGCCCAGGTACAGCACAGGTATTATATTCTCTTTCCACAGCTCAGGACACTAAGCCTCATATAATCAGACCGCGACTGTACTGCTTTCATCTTTGCATCTTCCCAGAGCAGGATTGTGGTAGATGTAAATATCTGTCGAGTAAGTGATCTGACGACAGGCTCTACTAAACTCTTTTTAAAACTTGGTTGTTCTCAAGGTGTAGTTTGCATACAATGTATCTTATCCATGCAGCTGTCCAGGAGCTATCTCGACACAGGCATTCTCTGAGGCTCTGGGATAACATTAGAATCTGCATTTCAAACCCCCTTTCTGCTCCCGGATCACTATGAAGCTTATTTTTTCACAGCACCTATCATGACCTGGAATTATCTTGATGATCCGCAAATGCAGGGCCAGGAGGGCCAGGCCTTGGCCTCTTCCTCCTCGGTGAGCCCCCGGGAACGTGGAGGAGCAACCTGGATACCTGCAGAGCCCACAAGCGCCACCCAGGACCTTAGCGCCAGAGCGGACGCCCCGCGGGCTGGGGTCTGGGCGCGATCACGCTGGCCGGGGCGTGCCCCGGCGCCATGACATCATGCCCGCGCGTCGGCTAGCGTGCGTCGGGCGTGGCCGTGACGTCACGCCGCGAGCGGAGCCCCCGCGCGCCAGCGCCGTGACGTCACGCCTGTGGAGCTGCGGCCGCCGGGGGCCGTGAGGGGCGCGGGCTGGCGCGGGCTGGCGCTGGGTGGCGCGGGTCGGCGGCATGGCGGAGAGCGAGGCCGAGACCCCCAGCACCCCGGGGGAGTTCGAGAGCAAGTACTTCGAGTTCCACGGCGTGCGGCTGCCGCCCTTCTGCCGCGGGAAGATGGAGGAGATCGCCAACTTCCCCGTGCGGCCGAGCGACGTGTGGATCGTCACCTACCCCAAGTCTGGTGAGCCGCGCCCCGCCCGGGAGGCCGCGCGCGCGCGCTGCCAAGGCCACCGCCCAGGGTCGCCGCGCCCGGCCGGCTGGGGAGGGTCCGGCCCGCAGGTGGGGAAACCGAGGCCTTGGGTACGGCCTGGCGCCCGTGGCTGGACCGCGTCCATGGGGATGGAGCCGGCTGGACCTGGACCGTTGTGCCCGGAGGATGGTCCCGGGCCGCCACCCACCCCCGCTTCCCCTCCCCTACCTGGCGGCTGTGTGACCTTGGGCGGGTCACTGAACCTCTCTGTTTCTGAATCCCGTCCAGCTTCTGGTGAGCGCAGCGTTCCGGTGATGATCCGGGAAGAGGGACTCAAAGAACGGTGGGCTTGGGTGGGGGAGGGACCCGCTCTGGCCTCTGTACCTGCCCTTCGAGGTCCCTCCTTTCGGGACTCCTTCGTCACCCAGGTAGGACCCCGGGCATTCCCATTTCCCAGCATTAACTGACATCACCCAGCTACCGTGAGTGGCGGAGATGGTGAGCCCCCTTTACAGTCCGGGCACCAAGGCTCAGGGAAGGGGGTGGCCGCGGCCCAAGGTCACCCAGCTGGCGAGTGGCACGTAAAGCCTGGTGGAAGCAGTGGCTGCAGGCCTGGTGGAAGGCCTGATGGGAGCAATGGCTGTGTAGTTCCTCGTCTGAGGCTCATAGGGAAAAGAAGTAGCTTTCCTTTTCTCCAAATGTGCCCGGAGGGTACCTTGTCGCCACTGTTTTGGAGGAAGACACCTGAGTCTGGATGTCTCTGGTGTGATTTAGAAGGTGGCTGGCTTTATAGCCACTGGATTGGACCAGCTATGGGGCAGGTTGTGGGAAAAGCTGTTGGTGTAGCTGTCACATTGTGTCGACTCCAGATACCCAGGGGCGGTCCTGGATGTCCCTGAGGAAGCTGGGGTAGGGGGTCTCAGTGGAGGAAGTCCGAGTCCCATGCGGCTCCCTGCAGTCTGGAGGCTTTGCTGGGCCGTCCTAGGGAAGGGGGAACAGGAGACTGACAGGGGACACTTGCTGTGGCCAGGGACTGACCACAGCCACCCGAGCTCCTCACCCCACCAATGGGTTTTAGAGAAATAGTTGTGGACATGCTCTAACGTCTTCTACTGGCTTGGGCTGGACTTGTGGATGACAACATTTGTAACGTTTCACTCTAAAATGTCCCTGAATGAGGAGCTGGGGTGAGTTCTAAGGAAGTTTTCTCCATAACCAACAATCACATCTTGTTTGTCGCTTGCACCTTTCCAAGACAAGCGGAAGCATGTCCCAGACTTTAATAAGAACAGGAAACATAGTGGATCTTCTCCACAACGGAGAGCCCCGTGGTGGCCTAGAGAGCTGTGTACACTGTCCCTTAAGAGCCACCTTCTCAGAACTTAAGAAGAACTGTGGCCTTCACTTCTCACTGTGTCTCCCTCTGTCCTCCCCTCCCTGCCAGCTCTTGCCTTTGCGCCTGAGGGCCAGAGGGCCATCTTGTTAGAGCTGTCTGCAGTCTGGGAGGGAGGCTGTCACTCCGCAGCTGGCCACCCGCACACTCTGTGGCCTCTGTCCACCTACACAGTAGGGGAGGGACAGAGCAAGGTCCTCATTTCACAGATAGGGACATGGAGGCTGTGGGGATTGAGTGACTTGCTGATCCCAGCTGGTCCCAGGCAGAGCTGAGCTAGCCTGGGGAGTCTGTCCTGGGCATGGCGGGGGGGCGGGGTGGTGTGCATGCATGTGCTGATTTTGGAGCCTCCCTCCCCTCTGCTCCCTCTCACCTGCTCCTTTCTGTCCTCATCACTGCCATGGATGGGCTGGCATTAGAGCACATGTCCTCAGGAGACAGTCACACCAGCTTTAAGCAGATGCTGTTGAAGCCTCTCTCTCCCCCACCCCCCTGTAAAGTTCACAATGTGATTTGCTCAAGGGGCTGAAGAAGTGGCCCCAGAAGTCTGCCCTCCATCCTCCTTGGCACCGTAGAGGAGGACCCTGGAAGCCATCTCCAGGGCTTGGTGTAGCAGGAGGGACAGCACAGCTCTGGGGTTCTTTGAGGGGTGTCATCTCCAGTTTAGTTTGGAGGGGAACCTCTGAGCCCCTTTGGAATGGTTACACCTGTTGCCGCTTACTGAACCCTATGTGCTCAGGGCTCTGGCAGGATCAATCCATACCAGCCTTGTGTATGTGTTTCCCAGGCTCTGAGAAAGCGGAAGTAGCTCAGAGTCACAATCTCGGAGGGACAGAGGTCCCCTGCTCCAGGGCCAGCCTCTGCCCTGCCTCATGGGTGCTTTTTGCCTTTGGAAAATCATGGGGGCCCACTGGACCAAAGTGGCAAGGAGGCCTTTCCACCGCTGCACTGCTGGCAGGATGTACATGTTCTGACGTCTCAGCTCTGGTGACAGGTTGGGACTGTGCTGTGTTGTGGAGGTGCCTCCGACCACAGGTGGTCATTTAAAGCAAAAAGAGGTGAAACTCCATTCTGCAGTAGCCCTCATTGAGTTCCAGGTGCCCCTGGACCATGTGTGCACACTGTGCAGGACAGAACAGACGTGGGACAGTTCCGTCAGTGCTGGGTTCTGCTGCACAGCAGTGCAGTTCAGTGTCTCGGCTGTGGTGTCCGAAGAGGGCCTGTGTGTTCTCTTCATCACCATTTGTGTTCACGGTCATTCTGTGTGCGTTAGTGATGACTGAACTCAGGGCCTTCACACTGAGCTCTTTCCCCAGCCCTTGTTCTTTATTTTGAAGGTCTTGCTAAGTTGTTAAGTTGCCCAGGCTGGGCTTAAACTCACAGTCCTGCATCAGCCTCCCAGGGTGCTTGGTTTATAGGGGTGCACCAGTGTACCTGGCCGTTGGTGCCAGTCAGGCCATGGGCTTGCTAACAGTTTTCTGGTCCCAGATAGGGCGGAGCCCCAGAGTCACGGCCCGTCAGCTTCAGCTTCAGAATACTGTTATGCTCCTGCTTGGCCACAGGACCACCTACGTGGCTTCATTTTCCCGTCAGTCCAGCCAGGCTGGAAGTGCATGTGCATTCTCCTGTCGCTGATGAGGAGGAGGCACATTGGTCCTGGGGGAAGAGCCTCTGGGACTGGAGCCTCTGGGCTGGTTCTGACCCCATCCTGTGGGCCTCAGCAGGGCCCTGTTCTCTGAACCAGTTTGCTCAGGAGGAGTGACATTGATGTAAGTCCTGACTTGTCAGACAGCGGGGAGTCAGGTGGACGCGGGGCCACTAGGTGTGTGGGTTCCAGCCTATACAGAAGTCCCCGCTTCCTTTGTGTCTGTTGCTGCACCACGCAGGGGCCTCTCGAGTGTTGTGAATGACAAGTCCTGGCCTGGAGGCCTTGCACTTAGAAAGCTGGCACATGCATGGGGCTGCCCCTGAGCTGGACTGCAGGCTGGGGGTGACCTGCCTAGTACTGGCCACTGGCCACCACATTGGGTCCTTGGCACAGCCCGTGCCCTGGTGGTCCCTTCCTTCTCAGTGGGGAGTGAAGGCCAGGAGGGGAGGGCCACGCACAAAGGCATCCTGGTGCCGGGTGTTATATGTGGACGACGGAGAGGAGTGAACCCAGAAACAGGGACAGAAGCAGTGTCCTCCGATCGCTCCCCAGCTCTGGCAAATGATTCCTCTGTACCTTTGATTTTCAATGCTTTGAATTTTTTTCTGGTTAATTATCCTGCTTGGGATTCTCTGAGCTTCTTGGATTTGTGGTTTGATGCTTTTCATTATTTTGAAAAAATTTTCATCCATGAGCTCTTCAAACATTTTTCTGCCCCATTCTCTCCCTTTTGTGGTTTCTAGGACATGTGCATTGGATGGCTGGACATTGTCACAGCTGTCGGGCGTTGTGCTGTCTCTTCAATCTTCCTGTCTGTGTTTCGCGCTGGGTGATTCCCACTGGCCAGGCTTCAGTTGCTTTGATTGTTCCACTGTGCTAGTGTGCTTCGGCCTGCGAAGGCTCTCTGCATCCCCTTTACTGTGCTTTTGCTCTTGCCTTTCCTCTGTGTGTGTGGTGTGTATGTGTCTGGGTATGTGCATGTGTGTGTGTGCTCTGTCCCTGTATGTGATGTGTGTGTGTGTATGCACATTTCTGTCTGTGCCTGTGTGGTTGTGTGTGTGTGTGTGTGTGTGTGTGTGTGTGTGAAGTGCTCCCATTCTAGAGTCAGGCACAGTTTGGGTGTGGGCCATTGAGCACTAGCTTTTGTGGTCTTGGGCGGGTTACCCTGAGCTTGCTGCGTGCTGGTAAGACGAGACGGTGATAGTATCTGGGGAGCAGCTGTGAGGCCAGCCCAAGAAGTCATTTTCGGGCTTCCGCTTATCCCTGGTAAGTGTTTCCCGGGTGGGGCAGTGGTAGGGTGGCTGTCCTGGCTGTCGATGGGCTTTCCCCATCCAGGAGCCAGCCGGGTGACCAGGAGCGGCACTTTCCTCTCTGAGCTTCCCGGTCCTTTTCTGCTCACAGGGACTGTTTGAGAACTGCGAGCTGGTGTGGTTGTGAGCACCAAGGCTGGGGACAGCAGCTGTGCCTGTCTCTTCCCAGGGGTGGGTGCAGAGTCCCCCGGGAGGGCTGGAGCGCCAGGCGGGCAGTGTCCTCAGGAGCCCACCATCCAGCCAGCTCTGTTGGGTCGCTACCTCCGAAGTGCAGCTGCTGCTGTCCCAAGTGTAAGTAAAGGAAGTGAGGGTCTTGTGAAAGCTGCGCCCGGTGGGAGGTGGGCTCCCGCTCCCAGGATGCCTGTGCCCCAGCTCCAGCCCCCAGTGCAGATCAGAGTCATGTCTCTAGCGCAGACTGGGACTTGATGCACCCGTGTGGAGCTGAGGTGATAGGTCCCCCTGCCCTGCCACCCGGGGCTGCCTCCAGCCACCCACACACTCACCCAGAGCTTGGTCAGGCTCACCAGGTAGGGAGGTCTGGGGCGGAAGCTACAGAGACCCACAGACACAGATGCAGGGGCGAGAACTGCTGGGATACAGACTGTATGAGGATCAGAGGAAAGTCTGACCCACACCCGCC